CGAAGGAAGTTGTTGGACGCCGTTCCCAGATACCTCAAGAGAAGCCCAACGCTGACAAGAGAGAGTTGAGGAAGAGGAAGTTTTGCCGGCGAACTGAACTCTCCAGAGAACGATAGGTGAAGTTTACTGGGTAGTTGACTCACTCCTACTGTCACTCTAGAAAATGGCCAAGTGTAACCACTTCCTAAAGCGTAGTATAGCGAGTTTGGGTTTTAATGTCAACCCGGGTCCTAGATGTGATGACTACTCAGTGAATTCTCGTTATCTAGCAGTGAACTTTTAGTGCAGATTCAAACAAACAAAAACACAAAGCAAGTTTAACGGTTGTTCAAGTCAAGAGAGGTCACCCGGATATGGTTCCCCCTAGACTGCAGTTAAGCCGGATTGCAATTTACCAAGTTCAGTTTTTATGAAAGTTATATTGCGGAAGGTTCTTAAATAGCCTGAAGTCTCGACTAAAGGTCTCCAGACCCTCTCAATCTGAGTCTCTAGTGGGCGACTAACCTCCACCGGAGTAAACAGATTGAGGCCCTAACGAACCAAACCTCCACTACCGAATGGAATTCGGTACAGAATAGCGAATTGGCTCCTCGACTAAAGTCACCAATTCGCTATCTTCAATTAAGGGTACTCTATCAATCTAGGCAGATATTCTCATTCTAGGTCAAAGCAGAAACAACAGGAATTTGATCAGGATTCAATTCATTCAATCATTCAAACCTCAATCGAATATAATCAATTCACAAACTCTGTACTTGGGTTCATACAATCAGACCTAGCATACAAATCTAGGGTTCCCCATACCCAGATGAATGGGGGCACTACTCCATAGAGAAAGAAGCAAAAGCAGATTCAGACGCGGAAATCATACTGTGAAGACGGATTTCTGCTCCTGGACGTTTAATCGGCACTTCTCCAAGCTCAAGCCGGGCTCCAATGGTGATGAAGATCAAGCTATGGCACTTGGGAACTCTGGTTCGTCGCTTTCTCTCTCTAGGAATCGCTTTCTCTCTCAAAAACTCGGAAACCTTGAAAGTTGGCCTTCTTTTCCTTTTATCAGCTGCCAGATCGCGATACCCGGTCGAAATACCCGGTCGGGTATTTCGGGTCTCGACCGGGTATATACAAAACGCGCCGTTTCATCCTGGGGAAAATCCCCGGTCTGACTCTATAATCCCCGACCGGGTATTTTAGCCAATTGCCCGGGCCCCCTTCTGTTTCTCACGGGGCGCCCAAAGGAATAATACCCGGCCGGGTATTCTTGGTCATGGCCGGGTATTTTCATCCATCAGCCTCCTTCGTCCCAACTTCGCTCCTTTCGACCCAGAACTCGTTTCTCCGCCTCGATTCCAACGTCGGGTCCTGAAATATGACATAAACACACAACCTAGCGTGAAATCGCCTTAAAACACGAGATTCCACATCACAAACGGCTTCAGAATAGGGGTGAAAACATGTGTAATTATCGGTCTATCAGTAGTGGAAGGAGAAGGAGGAAGAGCCAAATTGGAACAAAAAAAATGAGGGATTTCAAAATAGCTTACTTGAATTGCATTGATGATAAATAGGTGAATGAATGATAAATGGTCTCTTGATTTTTTATTTTTTATTATAAAATTATTTAAACTATCATATATTCAATTGCATGTGAATTGCATTGATGTAGGTGAAATGAATAAAAGTGAGTTGGATTGCATAAAATTTGAGATGACAATAAAAAATCATAGGCAATTAATTTGACAATTGCACTAAAGTGGATGCTTTAAAACCAGTCGTAACTTGCTGGTATATTTTAGATTTTTATTTGAACACTTTAAACGATTGAAATCAATTTCTCTTAATATTTGTACTCTACTCGTGATTGACTGCCAATAATAATCTTTGTTGTCTCACCGAACAATATGGTATGACAAAAGACTATCCATGCGAACAATATGCATGAAATTGATGAGACAGATGATATTCATCCGTATATAATTGAACCTGAACTCTTAGTTAGGGTTTAGGACAAAGGCTGAACACATATTAATTAGTTAATAACAAGATAATAGCTAGATGAGAAGTTTATTAGTTTAGATCCGAGAAAAGGACCCAGGCTGAGAGGTATGAATCCCTGGGAAATTTATTAGTTTAGAGTCGAGTATATGGAAGAGATTAATTTTACTGGAGGATTAAGTACCTTAATAAATTTGTCTAAAAAATATACACTAAATTCTCAAAATAGACATCAAGAGTTCTTAACTAAGACTTAGGCGTGAGGTAGAAACAAAATTAGCTCATAAGGAATTCATTAGATGTATCATTTGAACTGATAAGTGTTTCTATTTGGTAGTAGGATAAGTTACTGCTTTGCTTTCAGCCCAAGTTTAGGTTGTCCATCCGTTATTTTCTCATGTATTATTTGCATACTTTTAATTATTCACTTAATAAATTGATGTCATCCTTATTAGAAATTTTTTTTAACTCAGAGAATGTTTCTCTTGGTTGAGAAACCTAAATTAACAACCTTGGGTAAAAATAAATTAGTATGAGAATTCCATGTTAGTGATACAACATATTGAGTAAAATCGAGAATTTTCACTAAGAATTAACTGATATTTAATGAATAATCATTAGCTAAGAATTATTTTACTAATGCTCACTTAGAATGAAAAGAAATATCAACCTAATCTGAGAACATCCCACAAGAGGTGCCTAAACTAAACTCTTTTAACCATATGGTGTAGTACCAGCTGACCGAGAAATTTTGACTCAAGAGTGTAGGTGAATGAATGATAAACCTTTGTTAATGGATTAGGATGTCAAGTCAAGTAGGGCTGGACATGCGGGCGGATCATCCGCGGGTTTGGGCCGACCCACCCGCATTTGACCCGAATTTCGTTAAGTGGGTGGGTCTGTGGGTGGGTCTGTGGGTGGGTGACGGGTTGCACTGGGAGCCATCCGACGGGTGGTGGGTGGGTTGTGGGTGAGTGTGCGGGTGACCCGCTCAACCCAACAGCAAAAAGATCAAAGTCGTTGCGCTAGAGAGAGGAGAGTGGAAACGTTAGATATAAACTCGGACTGCTCCTGGAGTTTGAACCTCAAAGCCAACCTTCCAAATAGAGATCCCCTCTTCTTCCCTTTACTTTTTCCTCTAATTCTTGTGCCTAGATCACCGCTCTTTCCTTTGTGGAACTATTTTTCTTAGTTCCTGACACCTAATAATCGTCTCAATCTGTAGAAAACTCTTTCATAATAGAATTTATATCCGATTTAAGAACTAATTCGACATTTTTCGCCCTATTTCAACTTCTTGTTTCCCTCGATGATTCTCTTCACCAATTATCATGTCAAATTGAATTCTTTATATTATATACATTGTGATGTGGGTGAACCCACAAACCCACCCGCATCATCCACCATCCGCCCGACCCAACCCGAGACTAAATGTGGGTGGATGGTGGGTTAAAAATTATCAATCCATTTAAGCGCGGGTGGGTGCATTTTATGGTCAAAATCCACCCGACTCACCCAATGCCCACCCCTAAAGTCAAGGTTAAATAGAATTGATTACAAAACGAGGAAGCACTGATGAAATATTGTCTTACTTTATTCATCAAATTCGAAAAGGGATTTGGTTATCAGGCTTTTGTAAGGACCATTGTTCCATTATTGTATGTCTTACTTTTTTTTCTTTTGTTTTTGTTTTTATAACAATAATATTTAAAAAAATTATCGTTTTATTCTCATGGCCCTTTTTAAGTTCTTTAAGATAATAAGACCAATTCAATATATTTATGATGTTTTTAATCTCAGAAAACAATGTGCATATTAAATATACAAAATGCTCAACACATGTAATTTGAATATCATGTCTTGAAAAACATTGCAAATTGATAATTGTACATAGAAGTAAGAATTATTGGTCAAGAAAATTTGAAAAAATTATTTGACAAATGTTGTTTGGAAAATTGTGGCAGTAATGGATATGGTGGTGGAGGTAACTATATTGTTAAGAATTAGAAAGAGAGTATTCATGGTAGAGATAGAGGTTTCAATGATTGAGATAAAAGAACAAATATCGGACAATGCTCATGATTTGGGCGAGTAAACTCTATTTGCATGGAAATGATGTTTCGAATTCACAAGTATTTTACATTAAGCTTTTACCTTCAATGAAATACAGGAGAAAGAAGAAAGATTGTGGTAATGGTGGAGGTAGTGGATCTCGACTGTTGATGGTGAAGATCTTGATTTTATGTATGGAAATGAAGGCATTGTTATTGGTGAAGATGATGTTGATATGTCAGAGCAATCACAAAGAACTTTTAAAAATTGTTATATGTATATTTTTTACAATGAGAAATAAATCGAATAATAATTTGATAAACCATTAGAGTGTCTGAAAACTTTATAATTAACTATACCAATATTAATACTGTTAATGAAATGCATCCTGCCAACGGGCCGGGTACCAAGCTAGTGTGTAATTATAACATTTATGCTCTAACGTCCTTACATAAAAAAATTCCCTTTTTGTGATTTTAAGACTAGCCTTTATTTTGTGTAATATTTATTTAAATTAATCTTACTTAGAATAATTTATCCAATCTAACAAGATGAATATTGAAATATTTTAACACATTTTCGAGATAAAAGTTGATAATATTTACGTAACATATTTCCCACATCCACAGGAGAGAATATCAATATTCATGCTGTGTGAATATTTGAACTATATTGTGTGATTAATTTAACTAAATTATATTTTTATTTTTATTCATAAAATATATTATTATTTTGTATTAAAAAATGTGCAAAAATATTGATATTCATCTTGGTAAATTGAAAAATATTTTATGTAATATTGTTTCAAAGTTATATTCCAAAAAGTAACATCTACGAGCCTTCAAACACAAAAAAAAAAGTGTAAGAACATCATATGACTTTTGCTTGTTAACACGGTAGACATATTTTTCCGTGTGACCAATTTCTATTGCTTGTACTATTCATACATCATACTTAGAGAAACGGGAACTCTACAATAATAAAAAGAACTAATATTCAAAATGTCATAGTTTCTGTCACCAAACCAACATAGATAATATCATGCCTTTGTAAACGGCTAGGGTTTACCAACAATAGTAAATGAAATAGAGGGACAAGCAAAATGGAAATTACTACCTGTGGGACAAAACTTGAACGGGGATACAAAAAGCGTGTTTGTTTCAAAAGAATCTGTAATGCGGTGATGTTTCTGAAGAACAGTAAAAAGGAGGTGTGGTGCAATTATTGGGAGCCAAAATCTAAGCTACTATTATTTGACCATCTGAACTCGCTACTTAAAAAAATTGATAATAATCTCGTCGAGTTCGCCACATGATGAACTCTCTCTCTCTCTGTTGTTCTTCAATTTTTTATGGCAGCAGCAGCAGCAGGAGGGGCAGCTCCACCTGTAGTTGGGCTGGACAAAGGAAACGTGCAACAGAGAACAAGAAGTCATTATGCAGCTTGGAAAAAGGAAATGTAATCTAAACGAATGAAGTTTGCAGAAATAGAAACCCACAGTCCCACAAACACTTTGAACGCATCGTAGATGCCCCATTGCGCCCCTGTGAGGGTTCCAATCATGACGATTCGGAGAGGAAGCCCACGGGTGAAAAGCCCCCATAGCCCCAGCTGCTTAACCGCCTGCAACAACAAGTGGGAAAACAAAGTATATGATTTGGTTACAACTGAAATGGGAATGGCACGGAAGCTGGAGAGGTGGAATTGGGGTTTGTTTCGCTTACATCGCCAGCCGTTGCACCCTTGGCGTTGTTGAGGAAAGAAACCAGATTGTCAGCAGGGTGCGAGACTATAGCACAGAAGACACCTGCGACGTATCCACCAGCGAAGCTGACCCCTAGCTGCAAGTTCTTACTGCACTGCTCCTTGGGGGTCGGGATGGCATGCTTGTATATTAGCTCCACGATCTTCTCAAATGATGCAAACTTCATCATCGTGTCTGCAAGTGTATTCTGAATTCTTATGCAAACCGAAACAGGAAGAAGGAAGAAAAAAAACTGCAAATGAAAAAGCCTTAAGTCGAATTGTATAATGCTTACATGGAATCTGGCGACCCCAAAGAGGAACAAGCCCTTTGTACAATCTGCAGCGTTAGACAGCAGGAAGTGTAATTAGGAACATCAAAGCACAAGGAGTAGGACTCAACGAGCGGTTATTAAATTACCCAGCAACGCCTTCTGCCTTGACAAACTTGGGGAGTCCATCAGACAAACCGCGGGCAAAGCCAGGCTGGGTTTGGACGCGAACCTTCACTGCCTCCAAGGGGCAGAGCGCCACATCGGCGATCACCTCAGCAGATGCAGAACCGGCTAAGTAGATCAACGTCTTGTACTTGGCCGCGAACTCGGGCCCGGCCAAGTCCGAGTAGTACTTTTTGAAGAACTCGTAGAAGCCGAATTTGCAGGCGCCTTGAGCGCTGTAACCCAGCAGCGTGGGCACCCATCCCCTGAAGAAGCCTTTCACCCCTTGCTCTTTCAGCAACACTCCGAACCCCGATGTAATGCTCTTGTACTTGGCTGGGTTTATCTGAATTATTATATATATAATCGACGAGAGATTCGTCGCATTTGGAAACAAAATTTAGCCACAGCAGAATCAAAAATTGATATGCAGGAGAAGCAGAGAAGAAAATGACACCCACTGCATAGCAATCGAGTTGGTAAAGCAGAGAAGAAAATCGGTTGCAAAGCAGAATTGATGGGGATCGAACATGCATTGTGACAGGAATCTAAAAGAAAATATATGGCTACTGGTTTGTAAAATTCGTGGAATCCATTGGGGAAAATGATTGCATACAACATATGACAATAGATCGATTAACGGAGGGGGGAGAGATGATGAGCTACCTGCATATTGCATTTCACTAGATCGAGAGGAGTGACGGCCATGTGAGTGAGGCCGCAGCTGAAAATACCGCCGGCTGTACAGGCAGCGTAGAAAGCGGGCGAGTACATGGCTATCTTCTCGCTCGGGGCAGGGATCGCGAACCTCTTCGGATCGAAGGATACGCGGGTGGGAGATTCACGAATCAAAGGATCGAAATCGAGAAGCTTGGTGGTGGAGGCGGGGGAGGAGTAGAGGAAGCTGGGGATGAGGGACCGGCGATGACGATCGTGATCGGAGACGGCCATTATTGATGATCGGAGTTGTTAGGTAATTGGGGAGATTGAAAATGCTGCTGGTCCTGGTGTCTCTGATCACAATATAGGAAGGAAGGAAGGAAGAAAAAATGGAAGGGAGAAAAGTAGGGCTTGAAATGGACGGGGTGTGGGAGGCTCTTTCTGAAACGGCTTTCCTTCGTTTCCGCGGGATTTATACGAGGACCGGAGAGTCACTGGTCTGGCCACCTGGCTCGTCGCCTTTTTCTCCCTTTTGTTTTACCAACGGTTCCTGGCTCATGCTTCGCCCCTGTCATCGTAGAATTCTGCTTTCAACTTTCAATTTTGAACACTAACCCTATACACTAAATCTCTAAACTCTAAAATCTTCAAATCAAAATAAATCTTGAATAATTTTTGTGCAAATTTATGTATTTTCCTGTCTATCATATCACAAGTGATGAATGACGTTATTTTGACATGAATCGTCTTTTTGAAATGACGATTATGAGGTAACTTCGTTAAATGTACCCAAAAAAGTGAGTGCACGAAGACAAAACTATATATATATATATATATATATATATAGTTCAGGCTAGCATACGCCCGTCGAGTTTTGTTACTTAGATCATGAATTAACCGAAGTTTGGGGCATGATACTATACACTAACCTCTATAGATGAACCCTAATCCTCAATTCTCTAACCCAAACCATAAAATTCATTCAATCTTAAAATGAAAATCGACGGTTCTAATTCGTCAAAATTATCAAAGTACAAATAATAGGTGTGAACGCAGACGTATAGCGTACGCTAGCATTTGGAATATATGCCGACGTTCACACTATCGTACGCCCATCAAGTTTTACTATTCAAACCACGAAATAACCAGAGTTTAAAGCATTATACTATACCCTAACTTCTAATGAGCGAATCTCGTCTCCAATTTTCCAACCGGCACCATAAATAAAATTCATTTAAGACACATTTCACTTTGGTTGAACATAGAAACATTATCTTCCGTCCCCTAGAGAAAAAAAAAAGAGGAGCGCTCTCTCCTCTCTCCTCAAGCTCTGGCGGCCACATGTTCTTCTACCAATCGTCCAGTTCTGTCAATCGGCCGGCCACCACATCTTCTGTATGTTGGTAGTAATAATTGAAGTTACTCTCGCAAATCAGGGTTTCAACGGGTTCCGATGGACGATTAATCACACAAGAACGGTATCGGCGGCTCTGAGTATAACTCCGGCGGCTGGGCTTTGTAAAAAGCAACTGGCGAAGGCCGAAGAATGAAGATCTTTCCTCTGTGAGGCGAGATAAGATCACCGTTGGGTTTAAGAAGAGGAAACATATCGATCGCGTGTACCCCTCTTTGAAGCAAAGGCGTCGAGTGACCAGACCGGCGTGGCGTTTTTCTCTCCCATCATCGAATGATCTTGAAGAGGGGGAACTGGGCGACCGGAGCGATGCACCTCTTCGTGTGACCGGAGTTCTGGCACGACTTGATGATGCCCATGCCACCTTTTTCCCTAATGAACTTAGATCCTGCGATGTGGCGAGTTCGGAACTTAGATCCCGCTTTGGGGCGAGTTCTGTCCAATTATGTCCAGGGAATCGATTGCTAGCAAATCTGTGACAAAATCGTCCGGTGACGGTTTGGCATACGCGACCTACTTGCCGGCGATTCCCTTGCCGGAAAAGTGAATCGGGGCAGATTACAGTTACCCAACGCAATCCTCGCGTTCTAGCTTATTTTCTGGGCTTCCATAACGGTTTGGGGATTTTTCCCGTTCCACCGTATCTTGCCTCTGTGGGAGATATCTACCAACCATATTTTAAATTTTAAATTAGCAAATCTCCCTCTCCTAGTTAATATCATGATACGTTGGGAGTCTTCACCATGTGCTATAAATAGGGCATGTCCGACTAACTCTAGTTTGCACTTACGAGACCATCGAAAGGCAGCTAGGGCATCTGGACAACGTGAACCCATCCCAATGCAGGAGATTAATACTGGTACATGGGATTTCTTTCTTGTCGAACCCTCCTTTGCTTATGGGTGCATGAGATTTCAGCCATCTGCCTTCTTTTCTGTTTCTCGAGCTAACCTTGGGTAGCCTTTGGAAAATTCGACGACCCGTATAATCATTGTGTTTTTTGTGTTCCACAGCTGATCACCATGGCACATATTTCCAACGATCAGGTCGTGGAGTTTTCCCTCGAAGAGATCCAGTCGGAGAGGGTTTGCAAATCGCGGATGCTGCTTGGTCGCTTGTTCACATATGATAGGATGCTGCCATCAGAGATACTAGATGTTGTCAACAACCCATGGCAAGGACAAGGACGTATCCGAGTGCGGCAGGGGGCACATGGCCTGTTCGAATTCGTTCTTCCATCTGAAGCTGCTAAAAATTGGGTGCTCCAACGTACTTCGTGGGTAATTAAGGATAAAATCCTCCATGTACGGGCTTGGACACCAAATATATCTGCTCGCACTTTTGAGGACATGGCAATTGTCCCATTTCGAATTCAAATGTGGGATGTGCAAGAGGACTGCTGTACTCAGCAGTTCGGAAGAAAGGTCGCGAGCTCTACCCTAGGCCGCGTTCTGGAGGCTGGGGTGTTTACTTGCTCCGACACGTCTCGCACTTTCGTCAAAGTGAAGGCCATCATCGACTTCTCCAAACCCCTACGCTCTCAAATCATGACCACTAACGAAGTGATGGGAAACTTCTGGATTTGTTTTAAATACGAACATCTCCCACTTATGTTACCACTGTGGCCGAGTGGGACACTTTCTTCAGGATTGCACCTTTGACCACCCATCAAGGAAAGAACGATTTGGTCCCCACATCTCCACTAAGAAAATGGGGAGGAAAGTTTTTGATGGAAAGGAGGATACCCACCAATTTAGAGGCCATGCAAACTCGGTTTGGATAAATACATCTGCTCGAAACAAGAATAGTGTTGTAGAGTCTGGAGACCATCGACCAGGCGGTATGAGCAAGAGAGAGCTACTCTCGATGACAATGCCAACTGTCGACGATAGTCCACTGTGGATGGGATCCTCGAAACACCCATTCATGACGACGGAACCGCGTAAGCAGCACGAGAGAAGCCCGTACGACTTCCCAGTCTCTAAAGGTCCCACGCTCTCCATTGGAAAGTCGAATCGCCGTGGCAAATCACGGAAAGAGCCGCTGGGCAGTCCGATGGACATCGATGGGACGCAGAAGCCTCGTCGGAACACAAATGCTGAAAAGAAGAAGAAGGCGAGTGCGGGTACTGCTCATGTGGCTGTAAAGATGGAGCACGGGGCGACTGGGCATTGCTGGGGGCCATCCTCCTCGTCAATAGTTATACCCAACCCTAATGACATAGAGCTAAACCGGCGGAGGAGGCTGATCCTAGAGGAAGAGTCGGAGGACGACTTCGTGGTGTAGAGAGTTTCCCCTAAACGGCCTGAAGCTACGGGCCATGTTCCCTTTACTGGGCCGCACTCGGCCTCATGCTTGAAATAACAACAGACCGGGAAGACTGATGTCTCTCAGCCGATAAAGCTTAACACCATGTCCACTCCTCGTGCTCGAGGTCCTAAGGCGGCGGCTGCGCCTAAGAAAGCCAGGTCGAATGCACCTAACAAGCATCAGGCAACCCGTATGTCTAAAAACGGGAATGATGTTGTTCACCCAGATCGAGGTGTCGAGGGGGCTATGGGCGAAGGTGAGGAGCTGCTTCCCTCACAGCAAACCGATGGGAAGGGGCCAGGGATGCCCATGCCCGCTACGACCTCTTTGGATTCGGAGAAGACGACCTCGGAAGTGGAGGGCCATTCCTATGAGATTCGGCGCTGTGCCCCATTGGTTAAAAGGAGATTGCGACGCCTAGCCCAGTCCTCGAGGGTGAATCAGGTGGTCCAGGCCTTCGAAAAGGGGCTGGCAATGGAGGACGCTACAGTGGTTCCAGGTTCTGGCCAGCACCAAGCTCCTGGGGAGGGTGAGGTACAAGGGTCGGTTGATCATATTCCAGTCGACGCGCCCATTAATGAGTACGAGTCTAATTTAATCGACCCAGGAGTTGGAGCAAAGAACGTCAGTTTGATGAGGTTGAAGGAGAGATTGCTGATAACCCAACTCCAAAAAAGCAGTTTGTGGAAGAAAAAGAAGGAATAGAAAAGGTGGAGGAAGCCAGCTTTGAGTGGTCCCAACCGGATAAATGAGGCTTCTTGCCTGGAATGTGAGAGGAATTGGACCATCCCTCACATTCCAAACTGTTTTCGGGTTAGTTCATTCCAATAAACCGGATCTCGTGTTTTTCTCCGAAACACGATCGAGCTGAAGAGTAGTGGCTCGGCGAATGCGGGGTTTAGGATTTCAGCATTCTCATTGTTTCTTTGTTGATGCGATTGATGCATCGGGTGGTTTAGTTGTAGCTTGGTCCCCCGGGGTTGATGCCTCGGTGTTTTATCATTTTAATTTCTGTATTTGCACTCAGATTAATGAAGTTGATTTTTCTTATGTTTTGGTTTCTGTTTACATCAGTTGTAATGTTGCGTTAAGATCGATCCAATTGGCTCATCTTCAAGAGATATGCAACTCGTTCCAGCTCCTCTTTGTTGTCATTGGGGACTTTAACGCTACCCTGCATGAGGGGGAAAATGATGGTGGGAATGTTTGGAATGCAACTCAATCTCTCAGTCTTCGAGACTTTGTTCATGACCTAGGCCTTCATGACCCCGGTTTCCGGGAGATCAATTCACCTGGTCCAACAGACGGATGGGCATGGCCTGTATTCGTGAGCGGCTGGACCATGCCTTGTGCTCTTAGAGCTGGATTGATCAATACCCGGAAACCTTGTTCAAGCACTTCCCTGATCAAGGGTCTGACCATCGGGCTCTTCTCCTCTCTAATAAGCCTTATATACGTCATAGTCGCCCTCTCTTTCGATTTGATGCCCCTTGGGCTGATAATCCTGAGGTCAAGGCTATGGTGAAATACGTTTGGAAAGAGGAAATACCGGGTACTCCCATGTTCCGTCTTTGGGAACGTCTCAAGAAACTCCGGCATTTGCTTAATGATTGGAGTAGGGCGGGGACAACGAACTCTCTGCGCAATATTAGAAACCTCCAGGCTGAAATTGACCGTATTAAATTAGTCCATCCTATTAACTGGGATGAAATTCGTATCCTGGAAAAAGAATTGACAAGACAATGGGAGGCGGAAGAGATTTATTGGCAACAAAAGTCTCGTGTCAGATGGCTAAAAAGGGGGATAAAAATACGTCCTATTTTCATACGGTCACGATAGCTAGAAGGAAAAGAACTTCGTTGCTGGCCTTCGAAATGATAATGGTGATTGGATCACGGAGGAGGCAGGAAAGGCTGGTATTGCCAATTCGTTTTATCAAAATCTGTTCACCTCGGAGAACCAGGTGGTAAACATGATTGATCGAGTGGCCACTCTTCCCATTTATCAGAGTGTAACCCCGGAAATGAATGACTGTCTTACGAATCTTGTCCTGCCGGAGGAGGTGAAAAAAACTGTGTTTTCGATGGGCTCTAAACAGGCACCAGGTTCGGATGGATTCACTGATAAATTCTTTAAGGCTTTCTGGGGGATAGTGGGGACTTCGGTAATTGAAGCAGTCTGCTCCTTCTTCTCGACGAGTATGCTCCTCCGTAGCTTCAATCACACTTGGTTAACTTTGATCCCCAAAGTGGAAAACGTCGATAACATGAAACAACTCCGTCCTATAAGCCTATGCCAGATTGTGTATAAAATTATTACCAAAATTATGGCTGAACGGCTAGCTTGTATCTTGCCTCAAATTTAGGGGTGGGCAACGGGAAACGGGTATTTGGGTATACCCGTACCCGTCCCATTTTTTAAGGGTTACGGGTACCCATATTACCCGTAATATTATAAACGGATGGGACTTGTGATTGTACATTCCTAATATGGGTACCCGTGGGTTACCCGCGAATACCCGTTTGGGTAATATGGGTACCCGTTATACCCATTCAATACAAATGCAGAAATTTAATTCAGCCCAGCCCAAGTCAAAACCCATTGGCCATTTCGGCCCTTACCCTTTCAATTTCAATTCCATGTGGGTCATTACCCTTCCACTCTTTCACTGACATGTTTGGTGAATTAGTAGAGAGAGTTGGGATGTGTTTGAAATGAGGCAACGAGTGTCCATTTACAGCCTAGGATCATTGTGCACTTAATTAAGGAACTTTGATCATCTCAATATTGCTCCTAATTATTCTTCTTTGAAGGACAGCAGCAAGTGAAGGATAGTTGCAGCTGCATAAGGGAGAATGGCAGCAGCAGCCTGCAGAAGGGAGAACGGCAGCAGCAGCAGCCTGGAGATAGCAGAACTACAGCAGCAGCAGCTTGCAGAAAGTAGCAGCATGCCTCCCATTTGATTGTGTTGAATGAAACATCTTTTTTGATAATTTGGTGCTTGGAATGATTTATTTCTATGTGTTGTGATTCTTCATGAATGTGTAATTTGCAAACCAAGTATTTGTGATTGGGATGTATTTTGTGTCTTGTGATTGTTAAGCAAATACAAGTTAAGTTTAAACTTTTGTTAAAATTTTAGTGGTTTAAACTTTGGGTATTTATGGGTAGTATGGGTACCCGTTTCCCATATGGGTTTGGGATATGGGATGGACTTTGGTCTCCAAATGGGACTGGGTACCTGTTTAAAACGGGACGGGTATCCCGTCCCGTCCCGTTGCCTACCCCTACTCAAATTATTTCGGAGGGCCAAAACGCTTTTATCAGGGAATGCCAAATTGTGGATAACATCCTTCTAGGGCATGAGTTGATGCATTACCTCAACATCAAAAGTTTGACATGGAAAAGGCTTATGACAGAGTCGAGTGACCCTTCCTCCTTGCTGTCCTTGGGAAAATGGGTTTTAACTCAGCTTGGAGGGGTTGGATTCAGGAATGCCTCCAATCAACCACTTTCTCAGTGTTGATGAATGGCTCGCCTTCGGGATACTTCTCTCCTTCCAGGGACCTGCGGCAGGGAGACCCGCTTTCACCCCTTCTGTTTGTTCTATGTACGAAGGGATTTGCTGCTCTTTTGCGAAAAGCCATTTCAGAGCATAGACTGGAGGGCGTAAAGGTGGCCCCTAGGGCTCCCAGAATCTCTCATCTGTTCTTTGCTGATGATTCGTATTTATTTCTTCGTGGCTCTCTCCAGGAATGTGAGAATCTGCTGGAAGTTTTATATGAATACGAGGAACTCAGTGGCCAACGGGTTAACTTGGCAAAGTCAGCGGTTTGCTTCAGTAAAAATATTGCCCTGCCAAATCAGGAGTTCTTAGCCCAAATTCTTGGAGTAGGAGTAGTTGGTGTTCATGATAAGTATCTTGGCTTGCCAACTTTAATTGCTCGCTCAAAAATGGCTACGTTCCGCTAGTTGGAGGACAAACTGTTGGAGAGATTGAAAGGATGGAAACAGAGAACCCTATCCTGGGCCGCTAAGGAAACTTTGATTAAGGCAGTAGCTTTGGCTTTACCTCTACACGTCATGTCCTGTTTCAAACTACCCCTATCTCTTTGTCGGCTTCTGGATAGGCATGTGGCGAGATTCTGGTGTGGGGTTAATGATGGTCATTCCAAGATTCGATGGATGTCCTGGTGGAATATGTGTCGCAGTAAACATGAGGGGGCATGGGATTTTGGCGCTTTGAGCATTTCAATCAGGCTCTCTGGGCCAAAATCGACTGGTGTATCCTTACTAAGCCTCGGTCTCTCCTAGCGCAGGTCAATAAATGGAAATACTTTCCCAATGGTACCTTCCTCACAGCGGCGGCACGCTCTCGTCCATCTTGGGGTTGGCAAAGTATCTTGTTTGGTAGACAACTGCTTGATATGGGTCTACGTTGGCAAATAGGTGATGGTCAAACGACACCTTATTACATTCCAAGTGGATCCTTAGCCTCCATCCCTCTCCCCCACTTTATAATCCTTGAGTCTTGCCTGATGGGGGCGACCCTAGGGTCTCCGAAGCGATTTGCCCTGGAGAAGGCCGGTGGTGTGATTCCAAACTCAGTCAATGGTTTGATCCGCCAATGTGTAAGGCCATTAAGGCAATTCCTCTCTCGTGTCAGGGTGTGGCAGATAAACTTATATGGAATGACTCAGTTGATGGGGTTTTCACTGTTAAGACAGCTTATCACCTCGCAGTTCTTATCGACAAACAAAATGGGGGATGGCGGGATATGGCGAGTTGGATGGATAGATCCAGTTGGATTAAGCTGTGGGAAGCCAACTTACCTCCTAAGCTGAAGGTGTTTATGTGGCAAAATTTTAATCGGATTTTACCAACTACAGAGGCCCTCATTGAGAAAGGGGTGGCAGTGCATCCAAGGTGCCCGGTTTGCTGGGAAGGGATGGAGACAATGGAACACTTATTTCTCTCTTGTCCGGTGGCGCGGGCTCTTTGGGGCTAGTCCGGTCTGGAGTATCTTGGGGAGGGGTTGTCTTGCCATACTTTCCCCCTGTTTCTCAAACGACTAGTCTCCCTCATCCATCAAACCTCGTTGCTCATGGCCCTGGTAGCTATTCTTTGGCGAATTTGGCAGTCACGTAAGTGGGTTGTTTTTTAAGGAAAACGGCTTGGAATCCCGACCTTGATGCGACAGTTTCACCAATAATATGAGGAATGGATTCACCTCCCGGTGGACCGAGTTGCCCAGCAATCTACCATGGTGACACGTCACCTGGCTCATGTGGGAGCCAATGTGATGGTCTGCCGGTGGGATGAGGTCACTCGTCGTGGGTCTCATTCGGCCGGATGGATGGTGCTATTGTCTCCGGCAGGAGAGGTTTTGTTGGCTCATGGCATCCAGTTTCCGTGTCTTGATGATCCGATGGTCGTCGAACTATTGGCCCTCCGTGAGGCTATCCGGTGATGTTTGGTGCGTGGATTCTCAGAGGTTAGGTTCGAAGGTGACGCTAATGTGGTTATTGACAAAATCAACCAGGCGCAGGCGGGTGACAACCGGATGGGAGCTATTCTTGAAGAAGTATTACATTTTTTCACCATCCATTTTGGTTTTAGTGTGTGATTTGTAGGTCGGGTAGCAATAGGGTAGCCCACTTGGTGGCTAGAAAGGCCATTGTTTTGTCTTCGGCTATGAGTCGAGTTTTTATTTCCAGTCCTAGCTTTTTTCCAGGGTGTAACTATCTCATCTTAACCGTGGCATCCCAGCTCCCTAGTTCTTTCTCCACCGTCTACGTGATTGGTCCTAGAAGGCCATCATCTCCTTCACCATCGAATCAAAATGAAACTTGCGTTAATCCAAACGCTAGAAGGAAAGATGGCCTGGGTAAAAAAACAGAAAATAAGAGATGAAAGAGATTGATGATGATGAGGCAAATCCAAAAAGACAGGCAAGCAGAGAGAGCAGAGTGAATGCTCTCCACTCGTCCACTATCCCCAAACCCCTTCTCAGCTCCCACTAAAGCTCCCTCCAATTACCACACCTCTTTTCAAATTTGGATAGTCCAGCTTCCAGCTCCCTCCAAACAGCTTCAAACATTTACCCCAGTTCTAACAAATTGCTACAACTTCCCTCTTCCCTTATCTACTTCAGTAAACCGTAGGTCGAGCAAAAGGCAGGCGTGGAACTCCAATGGCTTCAGTAACATCAGCTGCTTCTTCCCTTACATTCGGCCTCTCAAACACAGCTCTTCAGGTGACACAAATTCTAGCTTATGGGTTTTTTGTACCCGGACTTTCCAGCACTTAAACTCCCCTGTTCTTCCTTTCTTCATCCCGGTGGGCAATGCAGATGAGTCAGAGCAGCAGCGGCCTAGGGTACAACTTGGTGTCAATGGGTGGTTCTTTGAGTAACAAGACCGCCTCTTTCCCTTCTCTAAGAAGTCGTCAACGCTCCCGCATCACTTGTGCTGTAATGTTGCTTTCACTCTGTAAAATAGGCTAAATGGAGAATAGGGTAATTGCAATTTGGTGTAATAAACTGTTGGGAGTGACAACTGGGTTGCAGGCAAAAGCAGAGACAGTGGAGAAAGTGTGCGAGATAGTGAGGAAGCAGCTGGTTTTGCCTTCGGAAACAGTCCTCACCCCTGACTCCAAATTCTCTGCTCTCGGTGCCGACTCCCTCGACACTGTAATTGCTTCAACCCACGTCGTATCATACGACATTTTCGCAACTCTCTCGTCTTTGATTTCTGCAGAAAGTAAAAATGCTCGTGCAATGCAGGTGGAGATAGTGATGGGGCTGGAGGAGGAGTTCGACATCAGCGTGGAAGAAGAGAGCTCCCAGAACATAACCACCATCCAGGAAGCCGCTGATGTGATTGACAAACTGGTTCAGAAGAAAGGTGAAGCTGCCCCAGCTGCTTCCTCCACTTAAATTCATTTTTTTACACTGACTAATCCATCCCCAGCAGGGTTCTCCGTTTCGTTACCTAGCTAGGATCTCTTTGTTCGTCTTTCTTTTTGTCTGTTCTCGATTGAAGTTGAACTCTCTCTCTCTTTCATGCCTGCTTCTGGAATTAATGAGGAACGATTTCGTTGTAAACACTTGTTTGGCCCTTACTTCCCATCTTGAAAAACCAGGCCGTATGAGATTGCAATTTTTGATGAGAAATACGGCAGGAAACCAAATCTGGTGAAAGAAGCTAAGCCTGGTTTAACATAGCTTATCGAGCAGAATGCTCCCCTCATGTTTCCTCGGAAAAATCAAATGCCACCGCCGGTGCCGAATTCGTTCCCGGCAATGTTAATTTAATATTTCGCGGTGGAAACTCTTGCGGTGCCGATTGAACGGATGCACCACTATCTTCTGACCAAATATCACCGTCGGCGTGCCAAACGACGATGTTGATTTGATCGAATTGATGCGCCACTGACTTCTAATCAAGACGACTGTGACTACGGTTCACACATCTCCAAACTACGTTCGAACGAGGGTGTTTGAGTTTTTGAGGAATCTACGTTACGACTACCCCTATGGAGATTCCTGTGGAGAGCTCCGCGACTACGACTAAGACTACAACTATGGAGATCCTTCCTGGAAGGAGAGCTCCGCGAAGGAGTTACAGAGAAAAGGTTAAGTTTGAACAGAGTTGATCTGTGTTGATTTTTTGGTTGTCCCTTTTCTCTCTCCTTACTCCACTGCTTTTATTCGAAAAACTGCTTCGTAGTCTTCACGCTCGGTGGAACCGCTTCCTCAACTGCTCTGTTGTGAAATCCCACGTGTCTCAACCGCTTCGTTCCTCAAACTGCTTCGAGTGAACTTTACGTGAGTTGTTTTCATGATCGCGCGATGTCGTTTCCTTTCCCAAAGAGCTCTGTTTGCTTTTCCTTTTGCGACATTGTTTTTTATTAAACACTGTCGTTTGCTAGTACAACGGTACCGTTGGGCTTGCTCGCGGTACCATTTTTAATTAAACGACACCGCTGACATAGCCAAAAATACCAGTTCATTGAACCGCCGCGCGTTTGCACTCACTCGCATTGGGCTGGGCGGATTTTGGCCACTTACCCGATATGGCTTTTAATTATTCGGTACCGCTTGTCAAGGCTCTCGCGGCATCGTTTTCAGATCCGCGGTACCGTTTTTACTCTCCGCGGTGCTGCTTGTCCCCATGCGGTACCGTTTTTCCCCTTCTAACAAGGCATAAAAATAATAATTAATTAGAAAACTCCTTCTCCATAACCACTAAACGCGCGGCCCCTTTTGTTTTTCGGTAAGCGGTGTCGTTTCCAGTGCCGCGGTACCGCTGAGTTTCCTTGCGGTACTGTTTTAATTAATCGGTACCGCTTGTCAAGACTCTCGCGGCATCGTTTTCAGATCCGCGGTACCGTTTTTACTCTCCGCGGTGCTGCTTGTCCCCATGCGGTACCGCTTTTCCCCTTCCAACAAGGCATAAAAATAATAATTAATTAGAAAACTCCTTCTCCATAACCCACACTAAACGCGCGGCCCCTTTTGTTTTTCAGTAAACGGTGTCGTTTTCTGTGTCGCGGTACCGCTGAGCTTCCTTGCGGTACCGTTTTTTGATCCACGGTATCGTTTTAACTTCTCGCGATACCGCTCAACTCCAAACGACACCGTTTTTTTACCCGCGGTATCGAATTAAATGCCGAGACTAATTAATGCGGCATTTAATTCCGGCAAAATTAATTTTAGGTGTCAACAAATGCCCCCACAATTTGGTTTATAAGTATTATGAACCAAATTGTTGACACAAAACAAATCACATAAAATAATTTTCTTAACTTGGCCTCAAATACACCAAAGTGGCGAGAGAAATCACCTGGTCCAATTTGGCTACCTAAACACCAATTCCACCCAAAACAGACTCGCACTCCAACAATACTGTTATTCTTTTTTCAAGGATAAAACAGAGTTGTTTTCGTCAACTTCTAGCCGCTTATAATATACATATATTTTTTTTCAAACCAGTGACCTATTGTCTCAGTACTTGCAAGCGGCCCTATCCGCAAAGGTGTACAACAGTCTCGCAACGCTGTTGGATACCTCGCAGTCATGTTTATTCCTTTCCTGCAACGCTGCGGCTCAGCGGCTTGAATTTCATTATTTTTTTTTTATTACTCTACAACGTCGAGTAACCAAACGCCATCATTCTTGTTCTCCAATCCGAATGTCCAACGGGGCCATAATGTTGGCCATACACAACCGTTCAATTTGTCCATTCTTCTGCAAGGTTGTTTAAAATTCGGCTGCAGTGATATTCAAACTATAACAATCATGCGGCACCGTCAAATCCATAAATACGGCACCGTTATTGTCATACTCGATTAACAAACCTGCAAGACCCCAACCTCTTCTTTTCCAACGAGGAAACAGAAGCACAAAACCGTGTGGCGTCTCACACCAGAATTATTTATTTAATTGCATATTTTGGTGAAATCTTGGCCGATACGTTTCTTTTAATTATTATTTAAAATTTATTTCGGCCAAAAGAAAGAGTTGTGCGGCAAAAACCATTGTTTAAAAGAAAAACCATAATTGGTCCCTAGTCCCTTTTTTTAAACACAATTGAGGTCACAACGGTGTTGGTGCTGGAAACAGAGAAGAATTGCAACAGTCATGCAGTGAACAAATTTCGCATCGCCGCTTAAGTAAACACAACCATGTTTAATCCTTCTTTCCTTATTATGAGACCATTGTCAACAAAATTAAAAGGCAAAAGCAAACGTTTTCTTTGTCGACATTGTGGCTAACTCAGTTGGCCATGTATACTTGACAACTCTGGCCAAAAGAAGAAAGGAAAAAAATCATTTAGCCTACACAAGCATACACCAACGGCCTTGATTATGTTAATGCAATGCCGATAGCGTCTAAGTAGCTCAGTCACTCGACGAATCTAAAATAAAAAGCGATAAATTGGCTAAACAACATGATTGCAACGTATCCATGCAATATTTCATGACATTCACACGTAAAACAATCTTTGAAGCCATTCAGAAGAAGAATTAACTCGTACCTGTCAGACTCATGAAAGCTGCCCTATGAAAGTTGAATGTGGCTCCTCCTTCGCGCCAAGGCTGATTTCTTTCACTATGTCACAGACAGCACCACTGCTTCCTCTCCCACCTCGTTACTCAACTCCTCACCGTTGATCGGCAACTCTCAAGGCCGTGATTTCGGCCTTCGCCACCCTCTCTTGAGGTGGCTTACTCAGATTTTGGTGGACCACCTAATGCAAGCATTGATGGTCTCACGATCTCGGACAATGGGTCCAAGCATGCCTTACTCAAAACCCTTACACTTGACATTATGGCGTTGGTTCCTCCATCCCCGCTCCTGATTTCGAGTGGTCCAAAATCTCCATGATACAAATAAGCTTCAGCCACGTTGGCCCCAACGGCAAACGGCTTTGTGTCAGCCTGTACCACCTCAACAACACCGTCTTCATTCCAAAACATCAAACACTGATGCAGCGACGAAGGAACGCACTTGTTGGCGTGGATCCAATCCCGGCCAAGTAGTGCATTGTAGCTTATCATTCCATCCACGACGAAGAAAGCACTAATCCGCTTCTGTGATCCAACTCCCACAACCACTGGGAGGATTCCCCGTGCAGAAGTGGACCCGTCATTGAAGCTTGTCACAAACACTTCCGTTGGGATCAAGTCATTAGTGTTCTTGCCCAACTTCTTCATCATCCTTGTTGGCATCACATTTACTGCGGCGCCATTGTCAACTAAGACTCTCGACATTGGTACGTCATCAAGTGTGGCCCTGATGTAGAGAGGCCTCAAATGACGCATCATCTTCGGCTTGGGCTCGTTAAAAACAACGACCCTGTTTGATTCTTCACACGTGGTTCCTTCGTCCACGGCTTTCGCTTTCGCTTCTGCAGCCTGGATAGATTTCTCCAGCTTATCGAAGTCTGATTCCCATGTGATATTCTCCACCGGCACACTTGTTGACTCTTTCGGGCCTTGGTATAACACGTAAAAAGGATATCTTCCATCATCTTCGCCTAGTAGCCCAACAGCTTTGTGGCCTGCTTCGTACAACTCTTTCAGGATTCTCTGCGAACTCTTGTTTTGCTTGGTTGACTCTACTGCCAAGTCAATTCGACCATTCGTGCGGGCCATCATTGCACTCCACGACTCAGCCTCGATTGGCAGATCCGCAGATTCGCCAACCAGCTCCGCCGCCGCTGGCTCCTCATTCTCCTCCTCTAAAGTCAGTTGAGCAAAACCGCTCACCAGCTCAGCAACGTTGACCTCTTGAGCAGCCTCGTCCAACTCCTCAACCTCCATCACGACCTCGCCATCCTCTCCCTGATTTTCTAAATCAATGTGGAAAATCAAAGGCAAGATGTAGTTGTTCACCACCACCGGTGGTAGACTTCCAAACTGGATCGTCATGGGTGCACCTTGGTTGTCATCATCGTCATCCTTGTTTTTTCTATCGAATTTCGACTTCGGCTCCTCCAATTCCAGCCTCTCCTCTTCGATGAGGGAGTCATCCAACTCAGCATCGTACTCAGCCTCTCCCGGGACTCCTTGATCGTTCCCGTCCAGGTTGTCCTCGACCACTTTTCCAGCACCGGCCACAGTCACTCTCAGACCCGTGGCAGAGTTGTCTACGTTCGCATTTGCTTTCAAATTTGCAATCCTCCTTCCTTGAGCATTCTTGCGGAGGTACCTTCAATACTGCGTCCTTGTCATCGCGTCAACCGTGATGGGCTGCTGACGACGGACGTCGTAGGTGTGCCAACCACCCCGTGGCACATTTGGCATCCTGAAGGTTCTCCTAACAGGTGGGGGAGCTCTCACCGGTTGGGCCAGTCCAAAAGGTAGACTTTTGAAAGGTGGGGCACTTTGAGCAACCCACTGTCTACGCTGCCCTCTTCCCCACGCAGGTGCACGTACTCCTTCGACGCTGCGTTCATATGAGGGATACCTCGGTTTGAACTGTCGTGGTCCCAATCTCTGGTGGAGCGAATGGCTCGGTCCCGCTCCCCCAATGGTTAGCTTTCCGCGACACTAGGCACACAACTTCTCTTCCTCAGCTGGGTCCAAGCGTGGCCCCTCCTGCACTTGGGAGGATGAAGCTCCCTGGGCCACATCAGAACTACCACTCGGCGGTGGCGTTGTATCTACCACCAGCTTGAAACGTGGCAGGTTGATCTTAGAGAAGTCGGGATTGACCATGTTGAC